GGAAAGACCTCCAACTCAGTGCGGAGGAAAAAAGAAGAATTCACAGAAAATGAAGCGGAATAACAAGTAGAACCGAAAGCTGCGGTCACTGAATCAAACCCTGCACTTTGTGTTGATGTTTTTAACCCATCACACACAACAAACTCGTTTTTTTTTTCTTTCTGTGGCCCGTGCGTCACTGAGGGTCGTGGAGATGCAGCGTGGCTCAGCTTCTCTTTGAGCATCTCTGCGAAAAACACCAGCTTCTGTAAATGAGGCCTGAGCTGAAAGAGAGCTAATGTTCAGAGAGAGAGGGTGGAGGAGAATGTAAGGATGGAAATTACATATTTACGTGCGTGTGGGTGGGTGGTGGGGTGGGGGTATCAAAGTGAACGCTGGTGGGGCTTAAAAGTCATCGACGAGATCTCTGCCACAGAAACTTACACATCAATAGACATCGGAGTAAAAAGGCAAACAAAGTAACGTTAGAGGTTGTGCGTGGAGGTGCGTGGAGGCCCGTGGTGCTGCTGCTGATTAGTCAGGAGCAAAGTGGGCGACGAGGGCGCCTCAACGCACTTAAACTCACGTTTATATTTCCAGGAATGAAGTTTGTCCGTGTTAAAACTAAAGGTGACTGTGGCCAGATGGATGAAATCAGTGACAACACGAGCTCCGTGTTCTCTGCTCTTTTTTCTTTCTTGGTTCATTGATTCGGGTTTGTTTTCCCGGATTGCTGATCAAACACTTTTACGCACCTTTTTATTTCCACTGCATCTGAAGTCCGAGCAGTCAGGGGCCCGTGGAAGCTCTGAAATACCATCACCCATCCTCACGCACACACACAGGCTTCGTTAAAATATGCAGAAAGGCCATTCAACAAATATGGCCCTCACAACACAAAAGAGTCGGGGTTTTCTGACATTTCTCCTACATTTCGTGTTGTTCCCCTCCTCTCACGATGTGAGTAAGACCCAGAGATAAATCCCTAAACAAGTATCATGTTATCAAGTTCCACCAACCAATTGTAATAAGAGTATTTTGTCTAATCCCAAATTGCAGTTGAATTTTCTTAATGCTGAGCTGGTAAAGCCTGGGATTAGGCGGCGAGGAGAGGAGGGGGAAAAGTTTTGTCCCTTCAGCGGCAGGATTGGAAGCGGGGATCTGCGGGGATGTTGTCGGTGCTTATTAAAACGATGATGCATAAAACACAGTTGTGGGAGCCCCGGCGCTGCACGCGGAGACCCGGGCTCCCTCAGGTGCAGTTTTTTGGACGGCGGCGGAGAAAGGAAGTAACGCAAAGGCCGAGCGGCGCGCAGCACCTGCGAAGTGAAGCCAGGAGACATCAAAGCTCAGGCGATAATCCATTCAGCTGAAGGCTCCTCAGCTGCACAGCAGCGCCGAGCTTTTCACACAGCGCGTCGCTCGTATTCACTGAAAAATAGGAAACTGCCTCCAAATGGTTTGCACTTTTCCTACTTCAACAGGAGCTTTAAAGAAACCCGAGTGATGCTGCAGAGGTAAGACACGGCTGCTCGTCATTTAGACCATCAATTCTAAAACGCATGCAGAAAAAAACATTAAAATATTAATTATTTTAGTCTATTTCGTCAGGCTTTACACATTTTTTCAGCAAAGCTGGGATCATTTAGGACGAAGGGAATTTAAAAGTGATGCCAAACATTAAAACCATAAAAGTTGAGTTTTGCGTAAAAACACCAGTCAGGATCAAAACAAACCTCTTTTTAAACAGTGCAGAAAATATTTAAACCATTTTTATGATGTGTAAATCCATACAGACGTGACAGGTGCTGTGGATCACACACACACACACACACACACACACACACACACACGCACGCTCACACACAGGCAACACGCACGCTCAGCCACAGGCAGCTCTCTGGCCACACCGAGCAAAACGTCCTTCACCGTTTCGGCTCTTTATTCTCCACAGCCACCCGTAATAAACGCGGCACAGCCTGATCCAAACTAAAACAAAGCGCCTCCGGGGACGTAAAGTGCGTAATGTACACGTACGTTCGGTCCCAGGCAGAGAAGAAACGAATCAGTAAATTAATTTGATGGTATTTGAAAGACCGGGAAGGGCGTCTGCTGTTGCAGCCTATTTCCTGGCTTTAATCGGGGACAGGAGCTGCCTGCAGGGATGGAGCGGAGGGTTAAACCACGGACACTGTTCATCTGGATTTTTACTGGGGGATATTCTTCACTATTTATTTTAGTGTGACACCAGGCTGCGTGTCTGCGAGTAAAGCAGGAGACTTAAAGGACGTGAACATGATTTTTTTTTCTCCAGCTCTAATTTAATATCGATAGTTTCTCTGACCTTCCAGTTGTTATGTCCCGAGCTCCTCCAGCTCGGCCCCCCCCAAAAAAACAAAAACAAAACAAACCAGAAAGAAAAGTGATTTCTCGAATCTTCCTCAGAGGAACCTGCTCCGCACAGACCTCAAATAAAAACCCGAACGCCAGTTTTAATTTCTAAAAACAGGAACAAGTCGCAGGGGAATTGAACAGAGCGCAGAATAATAAGCACCGCTAAACGCTACGCTCGCCGTGACAGGGGCCACTTATGCGCAGCCATAGACGCGCATGCATTTCAATAAGTTTTTGTTATGTGAAGAGAAAATAAGATTAAAATCTGGCCTTGGCCATGTGGGACTGGAGGCAGAACGGACAAATGGTAAAAAAAAAGAAGGAAAGTTTTGGGATTGTAAGTTTTACAAATGTATGAAATTAAAGAATAATGACAAACAAAACGCCGCGTTAAAATATTGGACCCAGAACAAAACGGCGTCCAGTTCATTTGAATTTAAAAACACGCCACACTCTGCTTCGTGGAGTATGAAATCATCAGGACTTTATTACTGGAGGACTGGGTTATGACACTGGAATAAATAAACAGATAAATGTTCACACGCAAAGGACAGCTGCACCAGATGTGGAGCTCTAAGAGACGCACGTGGAAGCATATTTCTCTTCTTACAATAAATAGAAACCAAAAGTTACTGAGCAAAACGCACACGACATGTGATGGCAGATCAATTACAAGCATCTTAAAAGACAAACAGCAATAAATTATGTATATATATATATATGTATATATGTATATATGTATATGGTTTGACTGCATGAGTCCTGACAGAGCAGAGGAAGCCACTGCTCGGAGCACTGATGGAAATATACATGTTTGTTTTTTTTAAATATGATTTTTCTTTTGGTAAACTGCTTTCAAGCCAAGACAATAAAAATGGCAATAGGAAAGTTAGGAGTTATGCAAGATTTATGAAGGTTCCCCTTTAAGATATTTTACAAGTAAAAAGTTTAAAGTGAAATAATTAAAAGGTACACAGTCAAGTAATGAAGTAGTTGAAAAGACTGATATTAGAAGGACTTTCCTTTTAAAAGTCCACCTGAAATGTTGACCCCACTCGACGTCTCCAACATGATGAAAAAAGGAAAAGCCCCGTTAAAGCCAGCTGTGCTGTACCTCAAACCGACTGCGCTGCTGCGTCAGTGCGTACAAACACCACACCGTCTGACAGGGCTTGCACTGCTCTTGTTTCATACATATGTATATTAAATACAAGTACCATTCTTGGTAAAGCAAAGGAGAATTAAAATTAAAGAAATACTGTGCACGTGTGGGACAGTCTGAGCCGACAAAGTTGGTACAAAGGCATCGCAGGTCTCTTCTTTCAGCTCAGTCTCAGTGGTTCACGTGACCAAAACAACAACAACCAGATCTGGATTCAACAACTGATAAAAATGTTTAAAATCCACCATCAAGTGTTGATGATGATGATGATAATGATGATGCTGCATTTCTTTTATCGGCTACATTTGTTTTTCTGACAATCACTGAAGGACACACTTCTCCTCTTTCTTGGCCATCTTGCCTTTGTTCTGCTCCAGCGTCCTCTCCAGGTGCTCGTCCTCCTCCTCGGCCCTGCAGAGGGCAAAGGTCAAAAGGTCAGATGTGTCGGGGCTGGGGAGTACACGCACAGGTAACACAATGGGCGCCATGGCAACTGTCACCGTGCCACCTGTGGCATGGCTCAGCGCCAGGGGCCGAGCTCCGACCTTTCACCTGCCTGGCATCGCCAATCTGGAAAGGATCCTGTCCATGCAGGTCTGCTGCTGCCGCCGCCACCACCGCCACCGTGCAGGGTGACTGCAGGCGGTTGGAACGCAACAGGCCCGGCAATGTGTTTCCACAACACCTACAGTTTCTGGGGGGGGCCTCTGGAAATCTAAAGATAGGCCGCAGGCATGTGTGCACAAATTCCAAGGGGGCTGGATGCTCTCGGACTGAGAGAACCCGTTCTCACACAGGACTCTGTGGTGCTGCAGTGTATTTTTGTACATTTGTGCTTTAGACTGCGACTTGTTGTGTGTCTGGTGATGGAGGATTGTGGGTAACTTACTCTTTCTCCTGGGCGTCCAGGTCCCTGACCAGCGCGTCTCGTTTATTCACCAGTATGACCAGCTCATCCAGCAGCAGCTGCTCTCGTCTCTTCTGGGCCTCCGTCTTCTGCCAGTCTGCAACGACACCAGAGGAACAAACTCCTGTAGACCAGGACACACTGAGGACACGTCTGACTCTAAACAAACCTCGGACTCATGGACAAACTGATGTGCACTTCTACATACAGCTGAGTTATCTCGGAGCCTCCTCTAACAGAAATGTTCCTCCTGAACACTACAAGTACTGAAGCAGCTTTTTAAATGCTTTTTGAACACACCAGGCACAGCTTCACTCTATCAGGCAACTGAGACACAGTAAAAGACGAGCTGATCTCCTGAGGGACGAGCAGCGTTTCCTTCAGCGGATGCTCAGTGTGTAGAGGTGGAGACCAGACCGGGACCATGTACGGAGCAGTGTGTGAATGCCACATGTAAACACACTCCCTCAGGTTGTGTGTGGACACAGTGAAGATGTGTTGACCCAAGCAAACACACTTGAAGGATATTATCATGTTAATGTACAGGCTCATGATGCACACTGAGATATATGGAGAATCCGTTCCCACAGGAACATGCTGCTGAAATAATTATAAAAACACACGTCTGTGTTTGAAGGAGTGGGGGGGTCATAACTTAAAGGTCCTTCATGTAGCAGGCATCATCCATAGTAAGAGACTGAAATGGTGTAAAGTTTGAAAAGCTGAACTTCTTGACGGTGACATTTTATCATGCTGCATTAAAAACGATTCATTTGTATTTTAGCCCAAACATTTTAAACTGATCAGGTTCTTGGTCCATTTTCAGGTTAAAGGTAGTAAAAAGATTTGGATTCAGATTATGTTGGTGTCCACTTCATGGAGGAGTCTGGTTCAAAGATGTTTACACAAACACTTAAATAGAAATATCAGTTTGTTCCTCAGCTAAACAAACAAACAAACAAAAACAGGTGAGCTGCTGATGCTTCCCTCTCAGTTCTCCAGGGTCTGTGCAGGAAGGGGCCCCACAGGGCCCCACAGGGTCCAGGTGGGACCCTGATCTAAATCCCCTCAGCCTCTCACCGGAGGAGGGGGGCTGCTTACAGGAGAGCGCTCACTCCCCCTGGGGCTCAAATATCCGCCTGGCGCCCTCAGCTCCCGCACTCTCCCCTCCCTCAGCCCCAGACACTGAACTGTGCTTCGACAATAAGTCGTTTTTTAAATCCAACATCTAGTTAGCGTGCGAAAACAGAACCACCTGGTTTGTGTAAGTTACATTAAATCATTTTACATTTTATTATTACAAAAAGTATTTTAAACCAACTGTTCAGATACAGAATCAGTTGCTGTGCAGATTTAGGACGCTGCTACACCAGGACAGCAAATCTCCAGCTACTCCTCATCTCACTGTGACAACATGTCCCTTTCAAAAACCCTCCTTCGTTTAAAAAACCCCACTCCATCCCAGAGAGAATCCAAACACAGCTAAGCCGTGTAGGCAACTTCACCCCCATCAATATTTAACCGTCTATTGATTTGAGAATAAAAGGAATGATGTAAAATGTCAGTCCCAAAATAAGTGTGGCTTTATTAAAAATAAATATTTCCCCCCTCATTGAGTCAAATTGCGGCAGTCAGGCTGTGTGTGTGTGTGTGTGTGTGTGTGTGTGCGCCACGCTGGGCCCAGTGTGTTTGTCCTGAAAGGTCTGCGCTCTCTTCATGGGCCCCGTTGTCCCTTTGAAGTCGACCACAGAGCGAAATGAACACAGTCCCAATATTTGGCTCTCTACGTTCCTCTTTTCCTTTCTTTGCCCCTAACCCTCCTTCTTTTTTCTCAGGGAAGCAAATTTACTCTCCTCTGGCTTTTTGGGGGGAGTCGACAAATACTTCAAATATGTTCAAACCTGTGTCTGGAAGAATATTTTTGTTTAGCTTTTCTGTAACAAGAGGAAGTTCAGGAGAAATCCGGACGAACTCTGTCAAGTGGAGCAAAAGCAAAGTGGCTGAGTCATCATGTGAGTCATCGTCTTTAGATAACTGACACAGGAATGTGTGTGTATCTATATCCGCCATAACTCCACTCTCCCACAATCCTCTCTCAACAAGCTTGGCCCACAAGAGGAGGGGTCAGGAGGAAGGGGCAGAAAACTTCACACGCACACGAACAAAAAGTGGTATGTAAAAAAAAGAAAAATAAAAAAATAAACCCTTTTCCCTTAGAGAACATCTCAGCCAGAAAGCCCAAAGTGCTGGCTGACCTGAGGAGCGGAGGGTGGGGGCTGGTGACGGGGGCCATGGAGGGCAAGCACACTGCTGTCAATCACATGTCGCAGAGTCCCGCCCCCCTCATTAGGAAGGTAAACAATAAAGAGAGCCGATGAGAGACGTGACCAGGCAACACCAGAGCAGGGCAGGCTGAGTAACCAGACACCCAGGAACCAAGAAAACACACTGCAGCCACTCAAATCCACCCCCCCCACCCCAGCCCATAAGCCCCGCCTCCCCAATAACACCCACAGACAGAGAGAGAGAGGAGTTAAAGACTAGGAGGAGTGTGCACAACTCACACGGTGAGTGCGTATTCAGATAACCCTCAGTGTGCACGCCAGCGGTAACCATGTGAGTCTGCACCAGGCACACAAGAATGCGCTGGTTCAATTCCCCATGAAGCCCCCTCTGCCCGCTCTCGCCGACACTAAATTTATTCAAGAGCGAGCTGGTCCAAAGCCGCCTTCTCTCGAGGCGAGGAGAGATCATCTGAAGTGCATCTGTCTGTCTCTTTCATGAAGAGCTTTGACATCCACAACTTCATAATGTTGTCCAGAGTCTTCAGACGTTTAGGAACCACAAACAGTGGAGTGTAAATACAGTCCCCTTCATCACTATATCTTTTCTCATCCTCCCTGTGCTCGGTACCTCTTGTTCTTGTGTGAAAGGCTCCAAAAGCTGGTTTTGGTCGAGGCCCAAATGGAGCCAAGAGACGGAAAGTGTCAGCAGATGAGAAGAATGTTGGCAGGCGTGAGAAAATGGCTGAGACCTTTTATACATTTCTTGTCTCAAGCAAATGTTATTAATCAAAAATGTGGTTGTTTAAATCTTGATTTAAGAAAAAAAAAAAAACACGACTGAAAACAACCGTGTGAGATGACACAGCTCTTTAAAAACAGTCCAGAAATCTGGAACTGAAGCGCGAATCGAAATGAAATGCACAGTTCCAGCATCGGTTCTGGCACATATGCTGGAGATGACACAGGGAGAACATCCAGGGCATTTAAATGAATAAAGGACACAGGTTATCTTTGGGTTTTGGAACCTCGACAGCCTAACAACCAGCCCACACACACTCACTGCAGATTATTTAGTAAAGACACATTTTTCTGAATTGGTCCAAACTAAAGTCTGACAACTCATGGAACGAAGCTCCTTGTTATCAGCGGTTCCAGTCAACTAACAACTCTGAAAGAGTTGGCAACATCATCAGAAGTCGCCATGTGATGGGATTCCATGGCGCACCTAATCAATCAGGGTCTGTAGCGCGCCGCCCCGATGTGTTACAAAGCTCTAAAAGATTTACAAATGGGAAGTGTGTGTGTATGCATGCGTGTGTGTGTTGGAGGTGTGGAGAGGGATAAGCTCCTGCATAGGATTACATATTGATTTTGAACATATAAAAAAGCTTATCATATCAAACCGTAGCAGGAAAAACTCTGGGACCCGGCTATGCATAAATCCCTTTTAGATGGCGAGAGGGCGTCCACTTTGAAACACACATGCACACGCCCTCGAAAGGAGCCAAGACACAGTTTTGTATGTGTGCATGCATAGGTGTGAATTGGTCAGCCGTAGTGGATCAGTTGGTGGCAGGGAGATGAGAGCGTGGCATATAGATGGCATTTTCCCGCCTGGCATCACACCACGAGACTAGAAGGAGCAGGTTATCAATGAGCATGCTCATAAACAACATCAACGCCGGCCTGACAGCCTCCATCCATCCTCAGTGGTATTATTCAGCAAGAGCTGCACATTTGGATCAAACTGTGACACCGTTCTAACGTCTAACGGTTCTATTTGTTATCTGTTGGTCAATCTAGTTAATTTTCTATCTTCCCCTATTTCTTGTGTGATTTACCATCAGGGGTCAATGCATCTTTGTATGTCGCCCTTTGTTGAATTAATCCCCATAAAAAGTCAGAAAAAATTAAAAGTCTCCATTGTAGTTTTTTTCGGCAGTTGAAATCAAAACCGCAGCAAAATAAACTGGTTCCCCAAATGATAAAGAACATTATAGACATTTCTGGTTGGATGAGCCAGAGAATAGGATCCAGATAGGTTACCACATCCTCCTCTGCCCCCGTTACATCACATCAGAAGTATCTTCTCTTAACCTCTTTTCAATCTCAGTGAAAGTGGTGGAGGAAGTAATCAGATCCTTTACTTAAGTAAAATACTAATAGTACACAAGTCCCGCAATGAAAATGTTATTCAAGTAAAAGTAGGAACACAAAGCAGAAACGTGCTCACTATTAGATATTATTAGACCACAACTGACTCCTGTGTGCAGAGTTTTAGCGGTGTGGTTGGCTGAGGTGGAGCTTGAATTGAACTGCTTCATATGAGACTGCAGCTAATTCTAATTGTCATTTTTGAAAGACAAATTACAATTACTTTCTTCTCAATTAATGAATCCTCTAAGTTTTACTTGTATTTACTGTTGGATACTATAACAAAGCATCTCAATCTGTAAAATAAGTAGAAAATAAAGCTGCTGAGTAATATCAGTGAAGTTAAAGTACAACTTTATATACAGTAGTAGTACAAAGAGACACTGAAGTGAAGTTCCTCAATTCTGTACTTAAGTATACATTTACCTTCCAGCACAGTTTCTATGTGTGTGTACTGTTACGATCTTCTAAGTCATAAAATAAATCTAGGAAAAGTTTAGGAACATGTGTCCTTCAGCTGAACATGAGCCTCCAAGCTGATTTCACATGCCCCTCCTGTCTGTGCTCCTCTCATCCTCGGTCAACACCAATGTAGTAGAATGTCGTACTTCCTTCTGTCTCTGTTCTGGTCTGCAGCTTTAACAGAGTGTGGGCAAAGCGGCTTTAGGTATTATCTCCTGCTCTGAGCTCTCATTAAAATCTACAATGTTTATGTTATTGTAGAGACTCCAGGTATTTCTATGTCAGTGTTTACAAATGATCCACATCTGCTTCCACTTCACAGCTGTATCAACCAGGCAGCCTGTAGGTGTGTGTGACTGTGGGCCAGAACAGGAACAGACCGAGGGAGAGAGGTGTGTGTACTGCACCTATATACTTTCCTCAGCAGGATGTGTGTGTGTGTCTCAGGTGTACCTTAGTGATGTGTGTTTCTTTCTCTCTGCTCTGACTCACAGTGCATTTCTCTCTCTCTCTCTGTGTCATCGACTGGTCAACCAAATCTGCAATTACTCGCACGCCCGACCATCGCTCAATGGACCTGCCCAAGCACCAAATAAGAGCTGGGGAGATGGGCAGCAAACACACACACACACACACGTATGGACACAGAGAAAAAGAGAGACACACAAACACACCTGCGAGAAGTAAACACACAGATGTGCACACAGCTCTGTCCCCAGCAGCTCAGAACTATCTGTGGCTGCTATAGAAAGGTAGAGCCTGTGAATGTTAAGTGCCGCCCTTAGGGAGGAAAATAAGGCCGGCTGATAAGTTAGTCAGCTGCAAATCCAACAAGTCCACATGAAGGCAGAGAGGAGCGAGCTGACACGACACACACCACCTCTTCACCTCAGCTTGCACACTATCTCTGCTCTCTCACCTCCGCACACGCACACACGCGAGCAGCCACACACGATACACACCTGATATATAAAAAAAAAAAAAAAAAAAAAAAAAGCCCTCACAGAAGAACCAGAAAAACCACACACACCAGTGCCAACACCAACACACAGACATGAAGAAAAGACAAGGCAGCCTTGTACTTCATACACGCAACGTGAAAGCAGACTCACTGGCACATGAACTAGAAACAGTTACTTGGTCCTGTTGTTTACACGCTGCAGCTTGATAAATATAAATAAATAAAATGGCAGGGTGGAGAAGGAAACGAACGTGGACGCAGGCAGAGTGGAACCGTCTGCAGCTCCTGCCCCCCTCCTTTCTTGCTAATTAGAATTGATTTATTATGGACCAGGTACCTTATCAGGTGCCCGGTGAAATTACAATGGGTGTCTGTCAGCTGTGAGGAGAAGGGGGGTGGGGGTGGTCAATGTCGAATGGCAAAATCAATTAGCATTGACTGGCAAAAGGTTCATATTGCCAAAGAGGACACAGCTGAAGGGGATTAAACTTCCCCTGACAACTCTGAAACAACACAATGGCTGCAGAATAGTTAACGTACAATAACTGTTCTTATTTCTTTTTTACCTCACAAACCATCTCTCACTGTGGCTGCTGCTAAATTTCAAATCAGGCATGGGCTAGTCAGGTCTAGCTAGGAAACAAATAGCATTGATCAAGTATCAGTTTGTGAAATCCCTCACAAGCTCGCATCTTAATCCTCATCAAGAAGCAGACGCAGAATTCTAATCATCCCACTTTAGGCTCTTGATGGAGGCCGGTCAACCGCTGCACAAAACAACAAAGAGGACTCATAAAAACCAAACATGTGAAGGAATCAATCATTCTGCTAGAGATTAAACAACCCTGACAACAGCGTTACCTTCTCTGTGTCACCAGGAAATGGAAAACAAAACGTCAACTGTTCCTCTGTGTTGGCTCTAGTAGCCGTTCATGCGACCACATTAACACTGCCAGATGTTCTACTGTAAAAATGACATTGGTCTGTTAAATTACACTGACTGTGTTTGGGAGGATTTGTAGTCAACTGAGCTCCAACTGCACAAGGAATTGATTTATTTACAGATGGTTATTTTGCTTCACTGCTGAAATCAGCATCATAGTCAAGTAGAAAATTCAGCAGTGATAATTCAACAGTTTAAGTTGTCAAAATTCATCAAATGACAAATTAAGAGTTTGAAATTTAAAATAAATTTCTATATAGACAATGAAATCCTGATAAAACCTAGAAGGATTGTTCCATTTCTCCTGGCTGACACCTGCAGACCCACTAAACCCCATGACCTCCACAGCCTCACTGAGTGTGTGTGTGTGTGCGCGCGCGCGCATTACCCTCGATGGCCAACATGGCTCTCAGCTCCCTGTTCAGCAGTTCGAAGCGTCTCTCCAGATCGTGCTCTTTCTCCCTGTGGCAAGTTAGAGAGCAAGAGAAAAAACACACACACACACCAAAGTTCATCAATATGTTAATGACTAAATCATTAAGTACTTAAAGAAACCTGCAATAAACATCGATTCAGCTACTCTCCTGGACCTTCTCTGGCTTCACATTAATCTACTGCACATAACTGATACACACTGCGCTCACACAGCCCTGGGTGCATGTGTGTTTGTGAGGAAAGCAGAAACAATATTAGAAGAAAGGTGGAGAAAATGCATGAAAAACAGAATGAATGACAGAAAACAAAGAAACAAATGAGTAGCTATGGACATGCCAAGTGTGCGAGTGTGTGTGGCCATGCATGTGGGTTGTGTGTCTATGCAGCACAAATTGAATTCTTTCCTCTTTCAGCCATATTAAAAAAATGAGCTAATTCAGTCCCTAATAGAATTTGTCCTTCACAGTCGCCTTTTCTCTTTGGCTCCATGAAGAGAGAACAGAAAGGGCCAGTAATCAGCCCTTCTGTCAATTGGCCACTTTAAAAGCCTCCCCTTTCCCACGATATAATGTGATTATGAATACTTCAATCTCTCTTCCACTTGCACACTTTGAAATCCTAATAGCCACAAATGAAGAAAAAAGGCAGCCCGTGTGTGTGTGCATGTGTGTGTGCGTGCGTGTGTCTCCACCTGTTGCAGCTGACCACATCCAGAGACTAGTGAGAGAGTTATAGTCACCACATTTCTATTGATTTCATATCCTGCCTGCATGTAAATCAATGACTGGATAGACAGAGGGGGTGAATGGAGTGCTGAGTCCACTCCCAGTGTCGCTCCAATGATTTTGATCGAATGCTTAAACAGAAGTGTGATGTTTCCAGGTGTTTAATGCTTCTCAGTGCGTGATGAAATAATGGAGGCTCCCTAGCTAGGAAACACTTTAATCAGACCCCAAAGGAAAATAATCATCTTCATGAAAAGGTCAGTGGTAAAAAGCACGATGGGTCAGACATGTCAACAGTGAGGAGGACAGTTAGGACCCGTACAGCAGAGAGAGCTGGTTCTGTCGTCTGATGAGGGCGTTTTTCTTGTTGACCAGCATGAACCACTCCTGCATCATGGCCTCCTCCTCCTCCTTGTTGTTGCCTGGAGAGTACACACAAAGACAAACACATTCAGAAATGATTTGAATATGGCGAGTTGCTGTGTTGTACATAATATTTTGTCTGTCTGTACCATTTTAAAGCCACAAAGACAGGTTTGATTTGGTACAACACACCAGTTACAGAGGAGTGAGCCTGGCAGACAGATGGTCTGCCAATAAAATTAGAGTGTACAGTGTATACAGCTACACACACACGATAGAGAGGATGAAGATAATTGACTCAGCAGAGACAGTATGTCTACCTGATATTTATTTGTGTGCGTGTGTAAATACATTATTTGCTTATGTTCCTTGTGCAAACACCCACATACTTCCCACTGTGTCTTGACAATGTCAATACAGTTTCAACCAGGGTGGAATTAACTCGGCGACTACTGTCGAGTGCCTTTACACAGTGGAATCTCTCACTCTAGGGCATTACATATCCCACCAATCACTCAGCGGGCCTTCAAAACAACAACAACGAGTCTCTGTGACTCCCTAACACTTAGTGTAATACCTGCTCAACACCTGGAGAGCTAGCAAGGCTCAGATGCAACGTAAGCTTCACCCACACCTGGGGCTAAAGCTCGCTGCTGTAACTTTCTTAGAAAGTGTAATGGGATGCACAGAACTGATATGGAAACCTTCAAATGTTAGCCCCATAACTGTAACAGGGGCAGCCTCCAGCAGTCATGTCTGACCTGTCAGTTTGACAATCAGCTGGCTGCATCAGACCAGTTATTATGTTATATTACTGTAGTTTGGCATCTGTAAGTACACCAGCTGTCAACATAACCTGCCATCACGCAGCGTTTCAGTGCAGTGACTAGCAATACAAAACAACTCACTCTAAATTACTAGTTATTATTAGTTCACTAATGCTGGTCAACGTTTTTCTCATTAGCATGGTTGGTAAAAAGCACAAATTGTCAATGTATGTTCAATTATGGACAGGTGAACAGAAAAATGCTGATTTTGTCATTTTAAGATCAAATTTACATTGTAATAATAATAAAGCTGGGCCTTTAAAATGTAGTTATATTTCATTATTGTCTAAATGTCTGTTGCATAGAACCTATTATTGTACCTGATAAAACAGAAAACTACATTACAAAATGCTTTTTGAGTTTAACAGAAGGGAACGCAGAACGTTCTATATAAAGGAACAGTGTAAACTCATGTTTGAAAGTTAAATACATTTTTTATGACTCCAAATTTCTACAGTGATCACTTGTTATATAAAGAAACGGAGGTGTGGTCGGTCAATTAGCATGGTTTATGTCTAGAACTGGGATAAGCTTGGTGGGACTGGAGGCCAGTTAAACAACAGCAGCAGCATTAATCTGACACTTGACTGTAAGGAGAAGGAACGGATTAAAGATCGTCTGAGGGCTTATGTTATTATCTCTCGCTGTAATAGCTGTGAAGCTAGGACAGGTATCGTAACAGAAGAAGCAATTTCACTTATTTATTAATTGAGGTCCTCTAAATAAAAAGAAAGGCTTTATTGCTCAGTGCACTTTAATACAGGCGCTGATGTTTTATATGTTTTTTTAAACATATACAGAAAGTGTTTCCCAGAGAATTGAAAATTTCAGTCAATGTCTGGAAATAGCTTTTGTTAGATTCAAAATCAGTGAAGGAGCATCTGAAGCTCATTAAACTGATGCTTTTGCTCTATGGGCACCTGATGTTTGATCCCAATCTGTGTAAAAATGACTCAGGACAAGAGAAACCCCAGAGAAATGTGTCTTTTTCTGTCACTCTCTCTCACACACACACACAGCACCACTAGCGGCGCGAAGAGGGGTGTTGGTCTGCTGCGTCATCAACAACAAAAGGCAGGCGCGTAGATGTGTGCACGGACACCGGTGAGTGTGTAGACATTTGTGATACTCTGAGCCAGCAGATGTATGTAATTTCATTTAGAAGGGAGGATTGAAGAGAACGGGGGAGAGAGAGGAAAAAATGCCGAGCAAATGAAAGAAAGCTTCAGGATTTAGCAGAATCGGGGGCTCGTGGATTACTGTAGTCAACTTTGAGACGGACGACACTCGGAGGGGGAATAAAGCCGGAGCTGACAGGTCATTGTGCTGCCTCGAAGTCAAATAAAACAAGCAAATAATAATGGCAAATATTAAGCTCCTGTGACATTGTGGCGAGACGGGCTGGAAGACGAGGGGGATTATAAAGCTATATCCCCCACTGCTAGCCAGCCAGCAGCTTCCAGCCAACCACCAGCCGCATTGTATGAAAGGAGGGGACAGAAAGGGAAGGAGAGAGGGGAGAGGCAGGCAGGGAGGTCAGAGGAAAAGTAAGAAAAAAGGAGAAAGGGAGGAGAAAAAAAGAGAAGGAAAGGTAGAAGGAAGGGGAAAGGGACAGACAGAGGGGAAATGAGGAACACGGGAGCAAAATGGGACAACTGGGCAAAGGAGAAAATGAGGGCGAGCACAGAAAGAGAGGGGGGATAGAGGGATGTTGGGAGAACGAGTGGTGTAGGACGCTGCTCAGCATCCTCCCTCCACTCCACCTCTCCAGGGTTGAACCCTGACCTCAGATCCTACGTACATCTTAAAGAGACAGACATGTGTCTGCAGTTTGTCCAAGTACAGTCACATTCACTGGATCTTCCTTTTATACGTGCGAGCTACAGCTCTTTACTTTGCATTAAAATTGAATCTGAAACATGCTGCATTTCAGATCAACCTTTTAATGTGCTTTTTGGGGAGTAGCATTTACACCTTAATTACTGTTACTATAAATTACCAATAAAGTTAATCACAGCTGAATTTTAATCTGGATTGCAACCAACTACTTTCATAAATAATTTATAATTATTCTGTCTTATCGATAACGTATTTGCCTTTTATTTAGTCTAAAACATCAGAAAACTGAGTAATGACCATCACACTTTCCTTTAAACGGCTTTTTGCATAGTACAAAACAAATATATGTAAATTTCAAGAATGTTTCTCATTATTTAAACAATTAATGTAACAGTTTTCTGCCTTAATTAATCCATCAATCGACCACCTTAGTAATAATGTTTACATCTTTTAATCAGTTAATTTGCTTGTGCAATATATATTGCTGAAAATACTGAAAGGAACAAGGAGAACCAGGCAACATGCAGTGAAATTATTTAAAAGCAATGCCTGCTTCAGTTTTATGAGTGCAGAAGAGCCACGTTCTGTTGCTCAGTGCATAAATGAAGGCTTAGTTCCCACTTGGATAACACTCGTCTTCGTCCACTCTCACTGCACTGTAATCAGTACGTGCACCAAGTGGCATATGTTAAGAGTAACGGAGAGAAAACTGCTGAATGTTGTGTTGTATTCAGACAACCGGCATAAATATCCCTGGCAAGCAGCACTGACACTGTGACTCCTGCCTTGGCTCCGAGATGCTGCGGATGCATGCTGGCTCTTGGGGGGGGCCATCTTGGATCAAAGCATCTGGCCGTTTGGCAGGTTGCATTCTGGGTCTTGCTGCTTGCCTTACATGCCATTTCTCTGTGCTCAACACAGAGCAGGGCAGTGCAGAAATGGGCCAAAATCTACAGAGACTGGAGCAATAAACTTGGCATCGGTACAATGTTTGATCAGGACATCAAAGGATTAGTGAAATATGCCTGATGGAGATAAACTGGGTTTCTCCACTGGCAGGAAACGTAATCGTCATTAATATCATGTTTTACGTTACCTCAGCTATCAGTGTGACTGCAATGGTGAGAAACACATAAGATACAATCAACTCAGACACACACACACACACAGTCATGACACAAACGATTCACACAACCTGCCAACCGCTCTATCTGATTGGCCGTCTCCCTCTTTCCTTGTTTCAGTCACTCTGTCTCACACAGACATACACAACCAGGATACAAAGGCATGAAAAAGGCTGGTTAGTATGGGTCAGTGTGTATTTGTATGCATCCATAAGAGGGACACAGAGTGAGAGGAAAAGAAAGAAAGAAACAGAGAGGTGAAAAGACTGAGTGAGCAAATAAGCTTAAGATATCTATCTTAGCCACTGGTCCATTCAGTGTAGATAGGAATAATGAAATGCACCCTGAGGTGGTCAGACTGCTGCTGCTGGTGGCCTGCACTGGTTTTTAATTAACTGTGTCATGTTACCAACACTATGTCTCACTAAAAGCATGTAAGGAGCCATTTTAGTGAGTAAATGCTGATTGATTTGACTGTGTTTTGAAAAGACTGTTGCCATTTGCCTAAGTTGCCCAAACCTGCCAGACATACAGCCAGTACCAGTAACAAAGGCTGGATTTTTATAACTTGGTATAAGTTCATTTATCATATTTCAGGGGCAGGTCAGGCCGATGGGAATATGTAGAGCAGGTAGAGAGATGCTGCTTGTGCAAAGTGTTTGATGCAAACGTGACAGGATTTAAGGATTTGATATCATCTTGGTTCAGCTGTCCTCCAAGTCTACATGACGTTGTTGCTCTGTGATTAAACATCCACCAAAAAGTGCAACACTGCAGTAAGGCTGTAATTATTTGGTTATTTTAATTATCAGCTGACTGCCAATTATTTGTTTAAAAGCAAAAGATTCTATTTATAATAAACAAAGCAGAAAATGATCAACTTAGGAACTAGAGTCAGTAAATGTTTAGCTGTTTTTACTTATCAGCTCATCGACAGAAATGTTTAATTTCCTGTCAATCGACCAGCTGAATTACTGCTCAATAGTTTGACCTTCCAGCCATGGGACAGACTTTCAGCTACCAAAAAAACTACAGCTATTTGTTTAATTATTATAAAATACATCAAATAAATACGAAGGAAATTCTACTTCCTCCCTCGAGAAACAACTTCTCTTTGTGCCTTGAAGGAGCGAGCTTGGAGAGCAGGGGTAATGAATGAGACGGAAAGAGAAAAACATTAAAAGCTGTGATCACAGCACGTTCATCTCATTTCTTATCCCACCATTTTGCCATTTAATCCAATAGCTGCTAATCCAATTTGTCTATCGG